TATTTTGAAGCCTAGAAGTTCTGCTCAGGCGGCATCAGAGTGAAGACTACCTTGCCTTATATGCCACTATTGACACCTCTGGGGACGATAATTTCAATTTCAAAGATTATTGGTGGAATTTTAATTAGTAGCTCCGCGAAATCAGCAGCACTTACATCAAATTTGATTTATTTCTTACCAAGGCTTGTCCGTTATACACAATCCATTTAATTTTGTTAACCAATCGACGATTGGTTAATACTAGGATGTATGCTAATTTTTTGCTAATTGCGATTTTTTCATTGAAACTTGATTTGATCCAATATATTTGTGATTAAACGATATTTCAATATGTATATTATTTTTCGATACAATTGTTTAGAAAAATTTAGTCCCTTATATTATTATACTCTTTTCTTTTTGCACCTCTTTCTCTAGCGAAGTTGCCAGTCACGGGCAACAAGGCCTCGAGACAGATGTATGGTCCGTCGGCTGTATGCTCTACACCCTATTGGTCGGTCGGCCACCTTTTGACACGCGTGAAGTTCGTTCAACACTAACGCGAGTACTTGCAGGTGACTATCAACTTCCTAGTAGCTTGTCCCCAGAAGCAGCTGATTTGATCTCCAACCTGCTGCGTCGACAGCCTAATGAGCGCATGAAACTGCGTGCCATTTTGGCGCATAGTTTTATGACCACTCGCAAAAGCACTCCGGCTAGACGATATATGGTAAGCCGTTATTTTGCCTATATTTAGCCCTTGTTTTAGTCTTTCTATAGTGACTAGCAAAACTCACTTTGGCTCAATTTTTCATTAATCACTAATTTTACATTCTGGCCCATTATTGGATGCTAACGTCTGGGCTTATTATTTGAAATTTGGCTTTATTCTTTTACATAAATTTACGTTCTATTTGTACAATTATCCGAATTGCTAAATGTCTACACTTTCCCGATTCATTGATTCAATTCGCTTTAGCCTACTATCTCATTATTGTTGAATTAATTTTTTAAAACGTATCTATCTGTATACACATATCATTCTATTACCGCAATTTCACTACCTAACTTAAAAGGTACATTAACACTAATAAATAATTTGGGCACATGGTGAAAGTTGCTCCTTTCTTTCTTAGCATTAATACATTTAAACCTTCACATGCCTGCATGTGTAAATAAAATATGAGCATACAGACAGGTCTATGGACGGAAAAGACACCTACGTTGAGCCCAACTTGCCGCGGCACCTGTCATACTACCCTGGGTGATTTTATTGACACCTAATTAGCATGCATAGTTCTCGATGTAGTCATTTATGTCTAGATTACACATTTAAAATGTTCTTGCCTGCCCTTCCCTGCTTTGTTTCATTAACTTTTTACTGACTTATTTCTTGTTTAATAGGAAACCTCAAACGATAGCGGGATCGATTCTTTATCTCGGACACCACTTAGCTGTTTCATCAATAACCAGAATAGCAACACTCGTCTTACTAACACTGCGAGCCTGGGCCACAACAGTTCAGGCAGCACTATGAGTAGCCATTTGACTGTTCAACCGTCTAGGAATAGAGTGGAACCGGCGGAACCTCCATTGGGAGTGTATCCTTCGCAGACACAGCTGCTACCCTCGTCAGCAAACAGTGGCTATGCTCCTTCTATTGGGGCCGGACACGCTGGTCACCATCAAACTTACTCTCGACAGCAGCAGCAGCATTACCCTCTCCAAGCCAGCTATCGCAGATGGCTTAACGGTACTTCACTTGCCTCAGCTGCCAGTAACGCTCCCCTCAAGGCCACCTCCGAGGCTATTACAGGCTCTTACCAGCCCCCCTCTGCAACAGGAGACGGTGCTAATGAAGCAGGCTCGTTTAATGCCTGCGCTATTTCCTTCGATGCCGCATCGGTTGCTGACTCACTTCTGACACCGATCAGCAACAGCATCAGCAATAATGCACCTGGTTACCTAGCTTCCTCGGGTAAAGGCCATGTTGTCCGATCTTCCAGTTTGTCTAGAGTGGGCACCTCAGCACCTTCAGTCGAAGTGCGTTCCAAACTCACATCTTCAGCTACTCAGCAGCCCTTGCAGGTTCTCCAGCATTTTGTTCATACAACACATTCGCCTTTTCCTATTAATTCCAGGCCCTCGCCAGCCATGCCTACCGACATCTCTGGTCAAACAACTTGTCTCTCTGGTTTCTCTTTCTCTAGCAACCCCTCTATGCCAACCCAATCAACAGTTAATATACATGGCACTGATACTACTACATTAACTTCCACTCTCCCTCCAGCTGCCCTTACAGTTTCGAGCATGTCGAATCTCTTAAGCATTCCAGCTAATTCTACTTCCACTGATTATAAAACACCTATCGTTGGCTCTACAAGCAATGTCTCATATCAGAAGCCTCGTTTGCCGCTTCAGCACCAGCCACGCCTTACGCCTCTCAACAGCTGTCGTCTTCGACCAATGAGGACGCGCACTCGGTTAGCCATGATCAACATTTTGCCAGACGAATCAGTATGCCTCGAGTTCTTTGCTAGTCATGGAAGTGGAACAAGTAGCAAAGCTGTCGACGCCTCACAATCCTCCCCTAGCGTGGTCGAAGTCATGGGCATCGACAAGTTTGGTCGTCGAATCGTCATCTACAAGCCGAATGGTGATCATGGTGTCCCCTGTGCTCCAGCTTCATCTCCATCTCCCGAGGTGCCCAGAGGTTTCTCTGTTTCATCTGCTGTTGATGGGGCTCCTCCTCCAGCTTGTCCTGGCCAGCCATGTGCAATTTTTGGCCTGGATGAGCTTCCAAGCCGATATTGGAAAAAATACTCATTCGCTTCACGTTTTGTAGGTATGGTTAGAGCGCACACACCAAAGGTCACCTTGTACACAAACCATGCAAAATGTCTGCTTATGGAAAACGGTGGCATGAATGAAGACCCTGTGGGTGAACCTGAAGGAGAAGAAATAAGTTCTGCACGTCCGGGTGACTTTGAGGCGGAATTCTACGGGCCCGAAGGCCCTGTCGATGTCTCCACTACGACGACTCGCGTGCATCTCAGCATGAAACTGACCCAGTCGGCTGGAACTCGGGAATTCGATCAAGTAGTCCGCATCACTACACCAGACGATGCTGGACAACCATCGACCACCAGTCTTGTTTTGAGCTCCAATCGCAGTCTTTCGGCACTAGCCCCCGACACCAGGCGACTGCTTGAGATAACTTTCCAAGTGAGTGAACTATACATTATTTATGCTTATCATATTTGTGCTCTTCTTACTCTGATGCCATATTCTGCTGTATAATTCGAGCTTTTCTCAAGCTGAATATACCTGCATTTATACTCGACTTTCTACCTCACACAGCGTTTGTGCAATTTATGCACACAAATGAACTCACACTTCTTAACTACTTCACTTAAATATTAAATATATGCTTAATATATTTAATATCAGCTTTTAAATACTATTTTATTTTCTTTCTTGAGTACCCTGAATAATTACATAGACTAAACTTTAAAATTTTACCTCTATACTAAGTCATGTTTATTATCATATCTTTTTTGCAAGTCTTTAATGCAGGTTGAGATTATAGTTGCCTGAAACAAATATGTTTACCTTTCGATATTTCAAGTACTCGTCGAACAACGAAATGTTTCAGAAGTAGGTCTTTGGGGATATAAACTTGGGATGGTCTTCAGGCTCGGCATCAAATTTCACTATATTACTTTAGATAATCTATTTTATCTTTCTGCTCATTTTTATTTTACTTATACGTCCATAATTCTAATTTGTTAATACCTCAATGAGAATTTAATATTACGCTGCTTGAATATTTCATGGATATATCATTATTAATGGCAAGATCTCAATTACACTAAGAATGCTTCTGTTCTATTGCTGGTAGGGACGCAATGGAATGCTCCATGAACAATTGCTTCATCATTTTGCCAAAAATGCTGACATCTATTGTCAATTATC